AATTCTTGAGTAATATCAAGTAATTTTTCTCTCTTTTGTCTTTTTAACCTACTATTCATTTGAATAAAGAAACCTCTCATTACAGCTTTAGACCCTATCCAAATTGTTATTTTGTTGAGATTGTGGTGGTCATTTTCTCTAAAATATAGATATAAAGTCTTTTTGGCATCTTCTAAAATGCTTTTGTTTTGGAGAAGATAGTCTTGTAATCTCCAAATGTACTCTTTGTGTGTACTTCTTAAAGTCAAAGCTATTGGGTTCTGAAAGTATTTCCATCTTTATTATGTCTTTGCTTAAGTTTTTCACCATCAAACACATATCAATCCTTGAATATGATTGGTGGCAGTCTGAGTAAAAAGTATAATCTTTTGCATTTCAGTATGTGAACCTCCATACATCTATTAATGAAAGATTATCTCACATAAAAAAAAAGTCTTAGGAAGTTTCCCTTTTGAATCAGTAATATGTCTGACAGAGGCATTATCTACTTAAGGGTTTATCACACCATTAAAATCCCCAAGTATTATAATGTTCTCATATGACTGCTCTTGTCTTTCTTTAAATACTGTTTAGTAATATTTCCCTTTTTTGGTTTGTGGTGCATATATTTCCACAACTTTTTGTTTTGTTTTGAATTTCTATTTCTATACCAATAAATTGTCTGGTTTTATTATTGAAACATTCTTTACTCTTTATTTTGAGGCTAACATAGAAAACTCTTTTTTTCTTTTCTGATGCAGAAATATATTCAACTCCTAATGTCTTTTTCTTGAGCAGTTTAACTTTTTTTTATGCAAGTTTCTTGCAAACAAATTATTTCTGCTTTCACTTTACCTAAATAACAGAAAACTTTTACTTGGACCATTCATACCTTTGACATTGCAGGATAAAATGTTTGTTATTAAAAATACAGACACCACTTTTTTTTTTAAAAAAAAAAAATCCTTTTATTTGTTTTTTCCTTTGTATTTCTTGCTCTGCTTCCTCTTCTTCCTCTTTTGATCTTTCAGACTCTTCTTTGTCTTCTTGATCTAATTCCTCCTCTTCCTCTTCCTCTCCCTCCTGTTAATCTTCTTCATCATCAGTTCTAAGTCTTTCTTTGCATTCCTGTACCACTTCTTCCCCAGCATTGCTTCTTGTTTTCATTGTGTATTGTTTCATATCCTTCAGCACCCTCTTCAGTGTCTTCTCCCTTCTTACAAAGGTATTTTTTTTTCTCTTGGCTGTTTTCCCCCCCAAAAAATATTTAGCTTTTTGTACTGAGTTTAGTTTATACCATTTTTGTAGTTAACCAATATGCCTTCCAACTTTTCCCATTTGTATATTGTTTTTTTCTTGTTTAACTGTGTTGTCAGGAACTTGTAATTTTCCCTTTTTTAAAGAATTCTCTTAGGTATATCCTTATACATTTTTATTATATTTCCTTCCACAATTAAATATTTTTGGTAACTCTGGCGCAGTATTTCATTGTTTACTTTTTTTCCTTAGAAAAAAACACAACCATGTCTCTAGGAATGCTTCTTTCTTTGGCAATCAAAGAGTTTATTCTAAATGATGTGTTGATTTCCCAGGCAAATTCTGATCTAACTGTTTCCATATATTTCACTAGCAGTGATGTTATATGATCATGCAAGTCTTGATTTCTTTGTTCTTTCAAACCTCGGAATTTTAAACAATTTTCTCTTTCTTTAAGTTCATCTAAGGTTCATTGATCTAAATCTTTTTCATGCAGTATTTCCATCCTCATTGTTGTTTCTTCTGTTTCTTCTGATTTTATTTCTAATTTTTTAATCTTAACAATTACCTGTTTAAACACCTTTTTTGACTTCTTGTAATAGTTGGAAAATACCTTAAACTCTGATTTGAAATTTTGTTTTAAATCTATTTTCAATGTTTTGATTTCCTGTTGTAGATTTGATTACAGATTTCTCTGCATTTGTTGCATTTCCATGTTTATTTTTCTTGTTTCCTTTAAAAGTGAATATTGTTCTATAAATGTTCTTCTTTGTTTCTGTAAATTTGCTTGGCCCTGTACAGTTGCTGTTCTTTTTGATATTGTTGCCATTTTAGATTTATTATTATTATTATTATTATTATTATTATTATTATTATTATTAAATCTTCTGATATTTTTCTATAGTTATTTAAAATGGTTGTTTTTTTCTTAATTGTCTTATCAAAGTTGTTCCAGATTTATTGTAAATTTCCTGTTCTTAAATCTCCTCCCCCCTTTTCCTTTTCCCTAAATTTTGCTTTGGTTTAATGATTTTCTAAAGATTTTCTAAATATACTTATAGTTATTTCAAAGTTTCAGTTCATTAGTTTGCTACAATCCAGAATAACTTCTCTAAATTTCTTCAATGCCTCCCCCCCCTTTCTTCTTAATTTCTATGATTTTACTTAGAATAATAGAGTTGGAAGAGACCATAGGGGCCATGCAGTCCAACCCCCTGTCATGCAGGAACTTAAAATCAAACCATCCCCGACAGATGGCCATCCAGCCTCTGTTTAAAGACCTCCAAAGAAGGGAGTGTATTCCACTGTCAAACAGCTCTCACTGTCAGGAAGTTCCTCCTAATGTTGAGGTGTAATCTCTTTTCCTGTAGCATCCATTGTTCCAAGTCCTATTCTCTGGAGCAGCAGAAAACAAGCTTGCACCCTCCTCCATATGACATCCCTTCAAATATTTAAACAGGGCTAACATATCCTCTCTTAACTGTCTCTTCTCCAGGCTAAACATACCCAGTTCCCTAAATCGTTCCTCGTAGGGCATTGTTTCCAGACCCTTCACCATTTTAGTCACCCTCCTCTGGACATGCTCCAGTTTTTCAACATCCTTTTTGAATTATGAATTGTGGTGCCCAGAACTGGACACAGTATTCCAAGTGATGCCTGACCAATGCAGAATACAGTGGCACTATTACTTTGTTTGATCTAGATACTATACTTCTATTAATGCAGCCTAAAATCACATTGGTGAATTATATTGCTTAAGTTGCTTAGTCCTCTAGCTTGCAAGTCAACAAAATAAAGCAATTCCTTTGTTCCTTTGTTCCACAAGTCAATTTAGTCTAGTTCTTTAAATCAAAAATTCCATGTACCGTGTTGATGGAGGACAGGGGCTGCACTTTCAGTCCCATCTCTGATGTGATGCATTTATCCACAGATTGAGAATGATTGTCTCAATGTTTGCATGAAAGTACCACACTATTAGCAAAGTTTATATTTACTCTGCTGACATACCTGTTTGCAGTGGTGTCACCAGGGGGTGTGATGGTGTGGCCCTCCCCAGGTGACACCCCAGAAGGAGGGTGACACCTGGTCCAGCCCTCTCCCCATGTTCCCTCCATGCCATCCCCACATGTACTCCCACCCCACCCTCTGTGCTGTTCCCACACTCACTCCTACTCCTTGCACCATCCCTGTGCACACTCCTAGATGTCTGCATTGTCTCTGTACTCCCCATACACATGGCCCCACCCCCATGCCATCCCATCCTTTTTCTCATCAGGAAAAGGATGGGGCAGCACAGGGGAAGTGCCCCTGGAAGCCCCAGCCCCCACACTGGGTGACACCCTGTGCAGGAAAGCCTCTGCCTATTTGTGAGGTTTTTCTGATTGTGTAGAGCTGATATACAAGAGCAGTTGCACTCAATGGAATGGAATGGAATCAGGCCAGGACTGAACCACTTATGCTTTAACACTGTAGGCCTGTCACATGAGCAAGGAATGAATAAGGCTGATATAGTGGACCTAGCTAGTGCCTTTATACACATGATATTTTTGGTCCATAATGGATTCATATGATGCAGATAAAGGTTCTTTCCACCTTAGCATTTCATTTATTTTGGGAAAAACCACATTGTTCTTCTTACTTCCAAATTGTTTTTATAGATATTACTGTAACTTGTTGTTATAGATATTATATTGCTCTTATGTACCAAGAGCAGAGCACTTAGAAGTAGATTTCCACATTGCATTACCAATATATCATTTGAGCTTAATTTTATTACACATTTTAAAATGAAAACTATGATGTAAAAATAATATGCTATAAAGATATTCCTCTTATTATATTATGAACCCACTTATCTAAAAGCCTGGAATAACCTGCACCCAGACTGATCTCATCATTAAAAAGGAAATTGTACCAATATAGTTTCACAAAAAAAAACAAAAAAAACTTGTGTTTTAATTGAGTGTACAGTTTAGTGCTTTTTAAATGTTTGTACACCATATTTTTCTGTATTTTCTGTTTTAATCTGTATTGTGAGCTGTTTTGTATCCCATTCAAGGCAAAAGCAATATATAAATCAATTAAACAAATAAACAAATAATATGCCCATCCTTACACTAGGAACAAAGCAAAGATCCTTTACCTTACTTGAATATGTGATATGTTGCATATGAAATCACTTCTAGTGCAGTAATTGTGAAGCATTTTATGCCATCATTAATAAAGTAATCAAAATAAAATAATGCAATTGCCTAGCTTCAGCCTACTAACCAGTCAATATTATCAATCTAAAAATACTTCATTCATCTCTCTCACAGTTAAAGAAGAGCACCTCAAATTGAAAAGTTTTTAATTACAGAGAGTGAGCTCTACCTAATAATAATAATAATAATAATAATAATAATAATAATTCCCATCTGCAGTGGACCTGATCAGTATCAGGGCCTTCTTGGAGATTGCCCCTAGGCTCTGGAGACTAGAGTGACACTCCTCTTGCAGTCTTCCTTTCTGCAGGCAAAGATACTTTTATATCTTGTATATGATATATCTTAAAGAAGATAAGTAAGATAACACCTTCATCTTTGTAAAATTCCCTGACATAAATGAGGGATACACAAATGCATGGGAGTTCAAGCTCATATACCTTTGATGTAAGACTGGGTTGAGGAACATGTTACCCTCCAGATTTTAGGCTGCAAATTCCAGCTTTCATCATCATTGCTATGCTGACTTGTCCTGAAATGAGTCACAGTTCAAGATTTGGAGCCAGCATAGCATAGCGCTTTGAGCACTGGACTACAATTCTGGAGACTAGGGTTCAAATCCACATTCTGACTATGGAAACCCACTGGGTCACAAACTCTAAATCCAAGAAAACCCTGTGATAGGCTTGTCTTAGGTTTGTTGTAAGTGGGAAGTGGCTTGAAGGCACACAATACATGATTCCTCATCCCAAACTGATGACATGCATGGAAAAACTGTTCAGTGGTTTGTTGTTCAGTTGATAGCTGCTAAACAGACATACGAACAGAGAGACAGATACCCACTATACAATCTAAAGAAATATCATCCCAAAACCAAACCATGAAATGGCCTAGCTATTAGAGGTGTTGTTATGTACCTTCAAGTCATCTCCAACTTATGGTGATTCTATCCTAGGGAATATTTGGCATGATTTATTCAGACAAACTTTGCTATTGCTTTCCTTTAACACTGAGAGAGAGGGCTGACCTTACTGAAGGTGAACCCTGACCTCCTGGAGTGAAGTCTCACTCCAACACTTAAACCACTATGGCCTCAAGCAGATGGCCCAAAGGTCTGCACTGGAACAACACTGCTGTCATTTGTGTCAGGACTGTGGCAACAAATGCAAGGCCCTGATCCAGTCCTCCACAGTGGTCCTGAAATGGGCCACTGAAAAGGAGCATTTTTCCTTGTTCCTTTTTGGCCTAGCTCTTCTGGGTTGGGTAAGGCTCGGTGCAGCTTTCAGCCACGATCAGGGTGTGTGTTGTGTAAACACCATGCCCCCAACATGGCCCAATGGCAGCCTTTTTGAGACCTACATCATGCTGACTTTCAGCTATTACAGAAAGAATATTATTTGAACAGCTTGCCATTGATGATAATGGAAACCATTTCCTTGCACATGTATGGTTGTAAGCTCTATGGAATTGCTACCATAGCATCATTCTTATTTTAAATAGTGTGGTTTCTTTTAATAAATTGAAGGGATTATTTGTAATAAAAGAGCTCGCTCTCTCTTGCTTGCACACAAACACACACACACACAGAATCTCTTTTGGCTTACATAGTATGTCTGCAGATGCTAGGAATGTAGCTTCATTGTTTTGATTCCCTTTGTTAGCTACCAAAGAGCTACTTGATTTGCTATAGGCAAGGAAATGTCCCTTGTGAAATTTCAGGTCATCCTTAACTTTCACCATAATCACAACGGACAGAACAAATGTTTTTATTATCAATATTGTCTTTTGTGGTTGATTTCTCCGCATATATATATATATATATATATATATATATATATATATATATTCCTTCGCCCTTTTCTAATTCAAGGAAGTGGGTGTGTGGGTGTTTCCTTGAATTAGAAGAGGGGAAAGGAATACTCTTCAAATGCAGTTCTGTATTACATGTGGATTCAGATGCATTGATTGATAGAGCTTTATAAAGAAGCCAAGATAAGACAGATCCTCACTATACTAGCATTTAGCCAGAGCTATCAGTCTTCACCTTCCACGAGCACTAAAATTCATCATGTACAATATATTTCTGCTACCATGGCCTGTAAAATGCCTTCTAAAGCACTTGGATAATACAGAAAAGAATCTGATAGAACTAGATATGGGAAGGAATATTAAAAGGTCTGAAGAGACTGACATGTACACAAACACCTGATTTGATATCCTTGAAACTTATAGCTGAGCTGGGGAAACAGAATCATACTTGTCCCCAAACATCAAAGATATATTATAATATCAGAATATTACATTGTAACAGAGCAGAACAATGCAGAATATTAAACTGCAATAGTGTAGAACTAATTCACTACAACAGGTAGCTGCACCTGCAAATACATGTCTAACAAAAAATTGGAATTGGATGATGCCTTTCTAGAACAGATGACCACACTCTCAGAAAGGAGAGATGTAGTAGTGATGGGGGACTTCAACTATCCTGATATTTGCTGGAAGTCAAACTCAGCCAATACTTTGAGGTCTAGCAAATTCCTCACTTGCCTTGAAGACAATTTCTTTGTCCAAAAGGTAGAAGAGGCAGCAAGGTGATCAGCTGTTTTAGATGTAATCCTAACCAATAGGAATGACCTGGTAAATGGGGTGCAAGTGGTGGGATCCTTAGGTAGGAGTGATCATGTTCTCCTGGAGTTTCTTATACAGTGGAAAGGAGAAGCTAGGCATAGTCAAATACTTATTCTAGACTTTAGGAAAGCTGATTCCACAAACTTAGGGAGGCACTGGGAGTGATCCCATGGTCAGGAATACTAAAGGAGAAGGGAGTT